ACCAATCCTGCCAGCCCTGCTCTTGCTTTCCAGAGATACAAATCTCCAGCGAGGCTCCTGGAGACACTCACTCACTGGTGTGAACCTGAGGCAAAGCCACTGCCTGGAACCAATTTCAGCCCAATTTATTAGAAGCCTTTATATTCAATTCCTGCTTAAGCTAAAAATAGTGTGGGCCTATCTAAGCACACAGAGCTGCTATTTATTTTGTGAAATGGCTTTACAGCACTGCATTAAATTCTGGTTCTTTAATAAAAACAGCTCCTCTGCTTTCCTCAGTCGCAACATCGGAGTTTGACAAGTTTTTCTTTAAACATTTCACGGCCTTCTCTGACACTAAAAATGATAGAGGAGAGAAACATTTGTGAGAGTGAGCAGGGGAAGCATCAGTGGGATCGATGGATCTCACAAACAGTCCTGACAATACAGGGCTGGGTGAGGAGAACAAGGTTTTTTGATGAAACAGTTCACTGACAATAGAAACTGGTCGGGGATTGGCATTCCAAGGGCTCTTTCCAAAATAAACAGAGTTAATCAAGCAGCAAAACAGAGCTGAGAGACCAAGGGCTGATCATCTCCACAGTGCAGGAATTAGAGATGGGCTGGCACGTTAATGAGGGGCTGATTCCCACAGGTTCTCGTCCTAGGAATGCTGGAGGAGTTGGTGTTGTGTGGGATGGAGGGTGAAGGGTCTGGAGCAGCTGAGGGAGCTGGGAAGGGGCTGGAGCAGCAGGAGCAGCTGAGGGAGCTGGGGGGGCTCAGCCTGGAGAAAAGGAGGCTCAGGGGGGACCTTCTGGCTCTGCAACTCCCTGACAGGAGGGGGGAGCTGGGGGGGTCGGGCTCTGCTCCCAGGGAACAGGGACAGGAGAAGAGGGAACGGCCTCCAGCTGTGCCAGGGGAGGGGCAGGTTGGATACTGGGAAAATTCCTCCATGGAAAGGATTGTCCAGCCCTGGCACAGCTGCCCAGGGCAGTGGAGGAGTCCCCACCCATGGAAGGGTTTAAAAGGTTGTAGATGTGGCACGTGGGGACATCATTAGTGGTGGCCTGGGCAGTGCTGGGGATGGTTGGACTCCACCTTGGAGCTCTTTTCCAACCTTAATGATCTGTGATTCTCTGATCAATGTTACTCCCCAGATGTACAACATCAGAGATCAACTCTCGAATTCTGAGTGTGTCAGGGACCTGCAGAGGACAACTGACACTACAAACACCCTGAAGCAGCTGAAGTTTGCTCTCCAGGGCTTTGTGCCTCTGCTGGCAATGATTTTAAGTCTGCAAACTGCTTGGGAAGGTTACAGAGCCTACAACAGGGCTGGAAGGGCAGTGTTTTCATAGATATCATAGAACCACTAAGGCTGGAAAAGCCCTCTAAGACCATGGAGTCCAACCATTAACCCAACACTGCCAAGCCCACCACTAACCCTCGTCCCCAAGTGCCATTTTCCAGCTTTTGATGTTTCTTCGGTGGCTTCTCCCCTGGTTTTAGGAAACCAGCCCCTTCCTGAGGGGCTTTTACATACCCTAAAAGCCTCTTGCCCGAATTGTATCTGTGCTTTCCTTTCCCATCTGTATTTATCCTTTACCATATGTACACACCCACAGATATAAACACACAACCACATCCACACACACTCCCACGGGGGGATTTTTAATAGTCCTTCCCATTAAGAAGTGACACCTCGGTGTCTAAATCTGATTTAGAAAACCAGTGGAGGAGCAGTGACTGTCACAGCCCAGCACAACAGGCTCAAACATCCTCGTGTGCCCAGCCAGGCGGAACAATGGACTGTTATCCCTGTTCCAGAGCCCTCACACTGCTGATGGAAAACACTGGTGATGGAACCTTCCCCCTTTCCTCTGCAGTGTCCTGCTCCTGCTATGTATTCCAGCAGGCAGGAGAGATTTTAGCAGACAGCAGAATAACAGCAAAAAGCAGCAAATGATGTTCCCAGCTCTTTGCCACAGTCACATTCTCGCTCCTCACAGCGGGGTTTTAACAGCTTGAAATGCAAGACTAGAGCTGGAAAAACAGGGAATTTGGTTTTGTGCACGCTTTTTAAGTGGTATTTCATTGGGCAAGTGAAATACCTGAGTAAGTCTCTAGCTTTGTTTTATCTACCAGAGGAGAAAAGGAAAGAGGGCCCACCTTTGTCCAGCGGCAGAGCTTCACCCCGGAATGGCTCCCAATGAGTTTGTAACCTGAAAACAGAGCACAAATAACGAAGAGCTGATGTTAACCTGCAGTAATTGAGACATAAACCACACCAGTGGGTGCCCAAAAGGATTAAGCATCACAGCCTCAATGCTGCTCCTCCTCACTGACCCCCCAGGTGACACCCCCAGCAATGGCAGAGCTGCACATCAGAGCCAAGGCTGTGACATCAAAGGGACTTCAGCCAACTGAGAATGCTTTCTTCTAATGGGACATTTATTTGCATTGCTCAGTCCTGTTTGAATCAGCAGGGTGGCCAGAAAACCCCTCTGTGGAACAGGATGGCAGAACTACAGGCCTGACCCAATGTGGGACAGCACACAGAGCCCAAGGGAGGAGCAGGACAGGGAATCACTGACACCTCCCTGGCCCTGAGCCATGACCCTACAGCAGCCTCTTCCCAGAACCCAGGATCCCAAATCCCCACCGGCAGGTCTGACCAACACCTGATCCCCAGAACAGCTGTGAGAGCAGGGGGAGGGAACCAACACACAAAGCTCAGCCTAAACCCAACCTTCAGGCTCACCAGCTCCATCCCCCTGGTTCTGGTGCAGCCACAGCGGGGGAGCTGCTCCTCCATGCCCAGGGAAAAGCTGATGGCACAGCCCTGCCCCATTCCCAAGATCAACACAATTCCATTTCAATTTCTTGCTCCAGGAGGATTAATCCCACAACATTCATTAAGCACTAAGTGCTATTATTACCCAAGCTGTTCGAGTTGGGTTATATCCCTCTTAGAAAAAAAAATGTGCTTAGAGGCCAATATGTCTCCAGGATTAAAAGTCACTTCAAAATCAGCATAAAAATAAGAGGGATTTGTGATGCCTCGCTGTGTCACTCCCAGGGCAGCTTTTCTATGGCACTGGCCTGGCTGGCCCCAAACTCAGCACATCCCAACTGCCTGAGCTTTATAGTAACACTTTAAAGGGGGAAAAAAAAATATCAAATATTAGCTGTCAGGTCTTCTTCCTGCCAAGCAGCTTGAGCTGAACAGGGGAAAAAAAAGCCTTTCTGCTCAGCACAGCTGGCCCTCAGCTCCTCCGAGGAGCAGCAGCACAATTCCCTGCCCTGCCTGTTTGTCCCTGGGCAGCTGTGGCACAAGAATCCAGGGAGAGTGACTGCATCCCAAAGTGCCCTAGACCTCCAGGGGCACTGAAATGACAGAGCCAGCAGATGCCCCAACAGCTGCAGCAGGTGGGAGTTCAACTGTGTGAAGACAGGCTGCTGCCACTCAAAGCCAGCTGGATCTGCCCTGGCTCCTCTCCTGCTTCACCTGGGGTTTGGTCCCAGCCCCTCACACTGGTTGGGGGGTGAGGACAGAGGTGGTTTTACCCAGAGGTGACACAGGACACAAACACTAGCACAGAGGAGGGGCCAGGCAGGACCCTCGGTGAGACAGCAAAGGGTCAATTGTCAGACAGATGAGGCTTTGGGGGCTTCAGAGCCAGGCTGCTCCCCTGGCCTGGGCTCCATCTCCCCCTGCTCTGGGGGGATGGACAATACTGCAACATTTGCCTCTCAAAGTGAACAACCCCCAATATGCAGAGGGAGAGAGGGGGGAAAGGCTGGGAGAGTTGGGATTGTTCAGCTGGAGAAGAGAAGCCCCAGTGTGACCTAATTGTGGCCTTCCAGGACCTGAAGGGGCTCCAAGAAACATGGAGAGAGACTGTTTACAAGGTTTGGAGGGACAGGACAAGGGGGAATGGCTTTCCCCTGCCAGAGGGCAGGGTTAGATGGGATATTGGGAAGGAATTCTTGGCTGTGAGGGTGGGGAGACCCTGGCACAGGTTGCCCAGAGAAGCTGTGGCTGCCCCTGGATCCCTGGAAGTGTCCAAGGCCAGGTTGGAGCAACCTGGGCTAGTGGAAGGTGTCCCTGCCCATGACGGGGGTGGAACTGGATGGGCTTTAATGTCCCTTCTAACTCAAACCATTCCATGATCAGCTTTTCTAACATGGAACTGACTGTCCCCAAAGCCACATGCAGTACTGGGGACACCTTTACCTGGGACTGGATGACACCCAGAAGATCCTGGGGCAGGTTCTGGCACTCTGCAGTGGCACAGCCACACACACACACAGCTGGCTGTGACACAACATCTCCCCCGCCCTGGCTCTGCCCTGCCCAGATCTTCAGCTTGTCTTTGCAAACAGGCTTGTCCAGCAAGGCCTAATCTCAGCTGAGACCTCCCTGCACTGCTAAAATTCCTGTTCTTACAGCATTTCTGGATGAGAGCTCAAAGCAATGCTGCATTCCTCCTCCCTCTGATACAGCTGCCCGAGCCAGGCTCTGCTGTCAACCAGCACAGCCCAAGTCTTATTTTTGCCATTTTTCAAAATCCAGCAACGGCATTCATGGCAGATTATTCCCTCACAGATCACTTGTCAGTAGAAGTAATATGGCTGCTTTAAAATGGGCTGTGGAGGAAAGTTAAATTGGAAATAGGACATGCTCTCCTAGATTTGCTGCTGAGTTGCTTGAGGGAAGGGAGAGGAAGCAGCTGAGCTGAGCAAGATGCCAAGCACTGGAGCCCAGAGCTCCAGCATTTTCTCTTAGGTTACTGAAATTCAACTTCCACCATGTGGAGCAGCCCCAGCTTCCTTTCAAGGCCAAGAAAACTGTCCATGTTCAACATCAAAGCAGAGTCCCACAGCCTGCAGGCAGCTTTAGGGACAAGGAGGGGTTTACTCTTCTTGGCCGCTGCCAGGAGGCCCAGCTGTGCTGCCAGGAGGGCACAGCAGGACTCCTTAAAGCCACTCTACAGACAACTTGGGTCCTGCTAAAGCCACGCAGTGAGTGCTGCTGTGACACTTGGAAATGAGATAAAACATCAGTGGCCAAGGCTGGACACTTTTTACAGCTCTGGTGAGCAGAGACTTTACAGCCTCTTTCTTGAAGCACTGCTGGGAAGGGGCAGCAGAAGGGTCTGGGCTAAAGGGCAGCAGAAAAGGTTAAGCAAGACCCAAGCAGTGGCACAGAATTGTGGAACTCCTGTGGTTGGAATGACCACTAGGATCAAAGAGTCCAACCATTCCCCAGCACTGCCAAGGCCACCACTGACCCGTGTCCCCAAGAGACACATCTATGTCTGTTAAAACTCCCCCACTGCCCTGGGCAGCTGTGCCAGGGCTGGGCAACCTTTTTCATGAAGAAATTTCCCCCAATATCCAACCTGCCCCTCCCCTGGCACAGCCTGAGGCCGTTCCCTCTCCTCCTGTTCCTTGTTCCCTGGGAGCAGAGCCCCACCAGCTCTTCCACCAGCTCTGCCACAACTTCCCCCTGGCTCTGCCACAGAATTGTCTGGAATCAAATCCCACTGATGGCCCCAAGTCTGCACCTCTGGGTGCCAGGACTCCCCAGCCCCACATTCACCACTTTGTTTTTAAGGGATGTTACTCCTGAGCAATAACTCTAAGTGAATATTTGGATAGTGCACCTTCCAAACAATCCAGTGTGTTGTCTTGATGGAACTGCTCACAGTCCCTGTGTACCTTCAGATGCTAAAGCTGAACAAACCAATCTATTTATTGTTTCTCCAGCCTAATATTCAAAGGACTCCTTCAATTATAAGCAGGCTCATAATAATCAGCTCAATTCCTGCTTAAAGGCCCAAAGAGCATCTAATCTGAAGGCTGTGTATTAGTTGATCCTGCTGGAGATGATAAATTTGGGATGATCCAGAAGCCTGCCAAACTTCCCTAAAATTAGGTGTCACTTTTATAGACATGAATTAAGCTTTAAAACAAGCTTTGGGGTGAAAAGAGTGTTATCAGGCAGTAACACCAGGCTGAGAAACATTTGGAGATTGCTCACCCTGACAGCCCAACCCGAGTTTTAACAGCCCAGAGAGGGACTTGGAAGGGGAGGGATGGTCATGTCACAGCTCAGGCTTGCTCCAGTGGCTGGGGCAAAACCAGGCTGCAGGTCCTGGAAACCACACTGCAGCATTTCAACGCCATCATGGAAATCATAGTTTTAAG